GCATATACACAATACATACAATGGACAACTAAAATATTTACACAGTACAGAGTTAAAATAAAGCTTTTACAAAGTGATAACAATACTGTATTCCTTAGTGAAGATTTCCAACAATATTTAGATTCACAAGGAACAAAACAAAGATTAACAGTACATCATACTCTGCAACAGAATGGAATAGTAGAACAAACTCATAAAACTATATTTAGAGGTGTAAGAGCATATCTAACATCTACTGAATTACTGTTTATATTATGGGCTGAAGCAGCAATTCATATTACCTATATTCATAATAGAACACTATGTACTGCTTTAAATTACAATACCCTACATTATAAACATTACAGAACACACAGAACAATTGATAATATATACGAATTTGGTCAATATATTATCATTTGCAACAAAAATCCTACAAAAATACAACAGTGAGGTATCATTACTTGTTGGATAGGATTAGACAATGAAAGTAAAGGCTATAAAACATGGTACAATAATAAAATTACTATCAAACAAAATATTCAATTTCTCGAAGGTAAACCTTCTCAAATTGAAGGGGAGAAAATAGATGATACAAACAACAATACGAACGAGTGTTTAATAATTAAAAATAACGAAACAGACAATAGAATAACAAGAACAGACAACAATGATATGGACAATACTGATCCTAACAAAAAAGGAAAAGTGGCAGAACCAACAGACTTAACAGACAACAAAGTTAAATTAACTGAAAAAGAAGTAGAACCTAAATTATGTTGATTGGAACAGAAACAGAAACCAACAGAATGTACTATCAAGCTTGAACAACACATGGAGAATAAACACATAACAAAACACATGTATGTACTTAGCAAAAAGGATGAAGATAATATTGCCATTCATTTAACAGAATTTAATGCTAAAATAAGTGAAATACAATCAGATCTGACTTCATTTTATAAAGCAATCTAATGTCTGGATTGTGATTCATAGATTGCAGCTATGAAAGACAAAATAAAACAATTAGAAAATTATAATACATGGGAAATCACAAATCCACACAATAATATTAACATCATTAGAACACAATTTGTCTATAAAATAAGCAATATGCTGATAATAGTATAGGAAAATATAAAGCACAATTAGT